TACCAGCAGCCTTCCTATTACTGAGGTCAAGCATGATAAGGCCCTGCAGAACTTGTGGCTGGGACTGCACACCCTTGGCACTGTAGTTATGTCATTCACCAAATTATTTCTTTCTAGAAAAGGGGGAGGTTACAACAAATGAAAGAACAGCATTCCAAACAGCTACGCATATATGTTCATGGTCTTGAGCCTGGGTCAGTTTTAGGAGTCTGCATTTGCACTTTGTTCAGTGGGCATGTTTTTCAGAAACTAGTTTTCCTCAATTCTTATCACACTTTGGCTGTCTTGCCTAGCTCTGTGTAGGCTCATTCAATCTTCTTTTCTCCTTGTTTAAGTCATATTTCCCGCTCTTTTAATCCTAATCTGTGGAGAACAAGGATATTTAAATTTTCTACTGTCATCTCTCCCAACTATCCCTATCACAATTTTTAATTAACAGGTCTACTTGTATGTACAGTATACCCACGCTAATGCATTTTAGAGATAACAGGAAATTAAACGTTACTCACCTGCTGGCCAGAGTAGATATTCAAACGTTTACTGGTTGGACAAATAAAAGGGGGAAAATTAGCCAATACTGCTGTATATATACCGTATATTCCGGCATATAAGACGACTGGGCGTATAAGACGACCCCCCAACTTTTCCAGTTAAAAGATAGAGTTTGGGATATACTCACCGTATAAGACCACCCCTCTTCCAGTGCACATCAAATAACATTTTTAAAAAAATCAGATTTGAATTCAATATGGTAATTTTAATTCAAATGCTTCTGACATGCAGGTTCCTATGAGAGGGACATTGCACCTTACATTGGACATTACAGTTGCTCTTCCTCCCTTGAATTTCATTTACACTCTGGTCCTTTACATCATGCTGGCAATCAGTTAAAATAAACTGTTGCATTAAATAATTATCATTTACAACCATTAAAAAACTAGCCGTTGTAAAGTGTCATATCAGTTCCCTTTTGACTTCTCGCAGGCTTATCCTATTGCCACAGCCTAAAATGTCATTGGCCTTTTCAGCTGCAGCATCACACTATTGGCTCGTGGTCAACGAACATTCCTTTCATAGAATCCTAAAGTTGGGAGGGACCTCTAAAGGCCATTTAGTCCAACCCCTTTGATTCTGCCTTCTCTCAGGAAAAGCACAATCAAAGCACTTTTGACAAATGACTAGCCAACCTTAATATTAATAATAATAGAGTTGTAAGGGAGCTCTAATGGCCATCTTGTCCTACCCTCTTCATTCTGCCATTATGTAGGGAAAGGACAATCAAAGCACCCCTGGCAGATGGCCATCCAGCCTTAATACTAACATTAATAATAATAATAATAATAATAATAATAATAATTATTATTATTATTATTATTATTGGAAGGGAGCTCTAAAGGCCATCTAGCCCAACCCCTTCATTCTGCTTCATACAGTGAAAGCACAATTAAAGCACCCCTGACAGATGGCTATCCAGCCTTAATAATAATAATAATAATAATAATAATAATAATAATAATAATAGAGTTGGAAAGGAGCTCTAAAGGCCATCTAGTAAAACCCCTTTCATTCTGCCTTCATGCAGGAAAAGCACAATGAAAGCCCCCTTGAGAGATGGCCATCCAGCCTTTATATTAATATGAATAATAATAATAATAATAAAGTTGGAAGAGAACTCTAAAGGCCATCTAGTCAGGAAGAGAACTCTAAAGGCCCCTTCCTTCTGCCTTTATGTAGGAAAAGCTCAACCAAAGCACCCCTGACAGATGGCCATCCAGGCTTAGTCCTACTGCTGCTGCTGCTACTACTACTACTACTACTAATAATAATAATAATAAAAAGTTGGAAGGAGGCTCTAAAGGCCATCTAGCCCAACTCCCTTCATTCTGCTTCATACACTGAAAGCACAATGAAAGCACCCCTGACAGATGGCCATCCAGCCTTTATATTAATATGAATAATAATAACAATAATAATAATAATCAAGTTGGAAGGGAACTCTAAAGCCATCTAGTTAAACCCCCTTCTACTGCCTCTACTGTAGGAAAAGCACAACCAAAGCACCCCTGACAGATGGCCATCCAGGCTTAGTACTACTACTACTACTACTAATAATAATAATAATAAAGTTGGAAGGGAACTCTAAAGGCCATCTAGTCAAACCCCCTTCCTTCTGCTTTCATGTAGAGAAAGCACAACCAAAGCACCCCTGACAGATGGCCATCCAGACTCAATAATAATAATAATAATAATATTTTTTTTAAAAGTTGGAGGGGGGCTCTAAAGGCCATCTAGTCAAACCCCCTTCCTTTATCTAGGGAAAGCACAACCAAAGCACCCCTGACAGATGGCCATCCAGACTTAATACTATTATTGTTATTATTATTATTATTATTATTATTATTATTATTATTAATAGTATTAATAGAGGTGGAAGGGGACTCTAAAGGCCATCTAGCCCAACCCCCCCCCTTCTGTCTTCATGCAACAAAAGCACAAAGTATGGAAGTCAGTCAGTCAATCATTCAGTCAGTCTGCTTCTCTCCTTCCTGGGCGCAATTGGGGCCAACGGAGTGTCTGGCCCCTCGCCTCGCTGCTCCTGGAGGCCAGTCGATCTCATTCAAAGCCTTGCCGGGAGCAGCAGGGGAGGGAGGGCATGCTCATCAGCTGCGAAGGCCAGTGGAAGCCTCGGCAGCCAGCGCAGCCCTGGAAGTCAGGCAGGCAGGCTGCTACGAGGGGAGATTCTCCTCCTTTGCCTCGGCTGCGTTGTCCGCTCGCTGCTTTCACCAGTGCAGGCCTCTGCAAGCCGAGGCAAAGGAGGAGAATCTCCCCTCGCAGCAGCCTGCCTGCCTGTCTGACTTCCAGGGCTGGACTGGCCTCCAGGAGCAGCGAGGCGAGGGGCCAGGCGCTCCGTTGGCCCCAATTGCGCCCAGGAAGGAGGGAGGCAGCGTGAGGAAGGCTGCCCTCCGGACTCCTTCCTCTCGCTGCCTCTTTCCTCACTGGGCCCAACTGGGACCCAACGGAGCGCCTGGAGGCCAGAGTCAAGCCTCGCCAGGAGCAGCAGGGGCGAGCACGCTCAGATTCTCCTCCGCTGCCTCGGCTGTGTCCTCTGCTCGCCACTTCACGTGGCTGAAATGGAGGTGGTCTCGCCAGAAGCGGCAGCGGGTGCGCTGGCAAGCCACTTCACCTGAAGACGAAGTCAGGGCTCGCCTGCAGGCTCCGCTGCTGCTGTTATACATCATTGTCCTCTGATATCCGGAAGACAAGACGACCCCCAACTTTTCAAAGGGTTTTCAAGGTTTAAAAAGTCGTCGTATAGCCCGATTTTTACGGTAATACCATTCCTTAACTTTTTCCGGTTTGAGACACCATTGAGAAGACTTGATTATATGTAAACTCATTGGATTATTTGCCATTATACTTAGAATATTATTAATCAGTGATTGCGCGGCCCCACTATCATTCCTAAATTGCTGAAATATCACTTTCATTATGCAGATTGGCAACCATCTCTAAATGCAACTTTCAGGAAAGTCTTTCTGCTGTTGTCACCTCAAAAAGAACTAGATTGGATGTGTTTTTACAGGAACTAGCAAACATTACATTTAGCCAGCTAAAATGAAGCCTAGCTACTCACCCACAGGTCTCTTAATTTCTAAAGTGTATGCGCTACTGATTTTAATTTCCTTTTGCTGAGACTGCAATTCTAAAGATTTTATCTGTGAAAGGTATCTCCATCACATGGATCACAGGTTCAGATTTCCTGGGTAGAGTTCTGCAGTTTGCATGCAATTGAGGTGCACTGATGGAAATAAACCTGCCTACAGGAATAATGATTTTAATCAAAATGAGTATCAACTTTCAATATCTATGTCAACATTTGTAAGATTCAGATACAAGATATCTAATAGTCTAGGATATATTGAATTCAATTATCACTCTGTAAGCCAATTTGACCAAGCCCAAGTCGAACACCTTTTAAATAGACTTCAAAATATAGTGTTCTTTGAAGACATGTAAAAAAGGTAAAATCGTCCCAAACTTGCAAAATTTTAGGGATAGGGGATTTTCTATCTTTAAATCAGAAGATTAATAATTTTGCGTAATTTAATTGTTTTAGAAGTCAACATTTGCACTGTGTTCAATGGGCATACTTTCCTATCACTGGTAATTCTCCACTGCATTGTTCCACTGCATTTTAGAAGTAACCACACTCCAGTAGCTGCACTTTATTTAAAGAGATTTCTTTATCATTTAACTTTATTACAGCAGGCACAGCCTGGATGCTGTTCCGAGTGACAAGGACTATTTCCTTAATTACTGTACACTGATAATAGCATTTACTCTGGCAGCTCCAGTGCTATTCAATCAAGCGAGATCCAATACAAAAAAAAGCTGATTTGCCAAAAGGAAGATTAGCATAAGTGCCTGCAGTCAAATTCTATTTTTAAAGGTGAAGTTCCTTCTTGTGAGAACTTTATTAAAAGCTGTAACATGATTACTATCATCTACCTGTGACTGAAAAAAAAAACCCTGCAGGGCAGTATTCAGTCTAAGGACATTTTGCATTACAGGTGAACTCCACACTATCCTAAAGTATTTGATCACATCCTTCTTACAGAAATAACGGCAGTGTCTATTTCTCATCTTACTGAGACATGTTTACTTAGATTTATTACATCAAGTTTTCTTCCCTTTAATTTCTGTATTGCCACACTTAGTCATTGCTTAAGTGATGACTAAGGCTTGATTTTTAAAAACTGAGACTTTTTTGCAGATCTACTACAGGCTGGAAATGCCAACTTCAGCATTACATACATCTTGTAGCAGAAGGTGAAACAGAACATTAATATATATAAAGGCAGGCTGAGATGAGATCAAAGCTTGGGGGGGGGGGGGGAATAACTGGTTAGCAACAGTGGCATTCTATATCAAGGTATGTAAAAGACTAGGACCTACTGACATAACCAGTTTGTATTGAGTAAGCCAAAATGCTAAAGAAATCAACAAGAATAAGTTTGTATTACTCCGGCAAGAGCAGCAGCCATATTAAATACTTTACAGTTTTCTACAAAAACATATAACATGAGATTCTTCATGGTTTGTCATTGGCTCACCAAGTGGAAACAAGTACAAAGTGGCTCAGATTTGAGAAATATAGTAGACTCTCTGTTAAACAGCACCCATAGAGGTTGGTAGATGTTGGATAAATGTAGTTTCTGGTTGCTTGAGAGTTACTATTAAACATAGGCCTCACTAATACTATACACCATACCAAAAATTCTGTATTGACTTGATATTAATATTGAAATACAGTAATTAAAATCAAATTAAGATAAAGACAAACATAACGTAACACTATTTTAGCATGTTATAAACATGTTTTTTTTTTAAATTCACATAATTATTTTGTCATTTCTTTACTGGTCACTTGAGAGTTCCAGCTGCTAGAGATCCAGTTTACTGAGAGTCTGCTATAAAGGACTTTTGATTGATTGATTTAATGTATTTATTATTTAATTTATAGCATTTCTACCAATATGGCACATTGTTTTCTGTGGAACTTTTGACCACAAAGTTGTATGTCTACTTTAGGAAGGAGGAAGTATTTCATTTTATAAAATTATAGAGATCTGGAACCCTTTGTTCCTCGACTAGAAATTGCTAGGAAACCCATCAATGCATCCCGATCTGCATTCTGCCTCCCTTTAGTGTTGCTACACACAAGTATATAGGCATGTCAGAGACAGTTCTGTGCATTACCTTTATTAGCTATAGGCCTAATGTTTCTTCTAGAAGCAGATACCGTTAAAACTACCAGTAGTAGTTGAAGCCACATATTCAACAAGTGCCACTGTATGTTTAGCGCCACAGTTCATTCCTTGTCTTTTTTTAGCTATGAAAAAGTAGGTTAAGCTTCAAGCACCACTTACGATTTTCCAAGTGGCAACATAGCATAGCTGACAAAAGTAAAATGGCCAATAACAGTAGTTGGAAGTATTAAAATGCGATGTCAGACACTTTATGACTGGAAGGAGAAGTGAGAGCATGGAAGACAAGGGAAATGACAGCAGTGTTTATATTTCTCAATAAGAGCAAGATGAAAATGCTACAAACATTTAATTCTGAATTGGGAGAAGGACAGTGATGTAAGTGTTCCTGGGGAACAATATCCTTATTCTGTGGAAGGAGGTGAGCCAAGACACTTAAGCTCCAGAGAACCTTTAGCACAGGAAGCTATTTATCATAACAAGCTTGGTTGAGACTGCTCCCCATACTGAACCAATTAGAGTAGCTTATTTCGTCATACTTCATAACTTGCAATGATAGGTTTCCAAGCCTGGCACGGTGCAGTAATTGAATTTTGATCAAACACACATGGCCCATAACCCACAATGTGAAACTTTCAGAGCAGTTTGCAGCTTTTAAATATCCAGTCAACTTGTTGCCAAAAGTACAAGATGTACTTGGTGCAAGGGAGGAAGAGCGAATGAGCTAGAACTTTGTACATCTGTAAAACAACGTAATGTTTTGCTTGTTTGAGCTCTTTTTGGTTTGAAAGAGCAGAAGGGATAGGGATGCTGGATGTGAGGTCCTTTCTTGCTGTCTTTGATATTTACATGTCCGCTTTTCACAGTTTTGTCCAACTTGTACAAGTCCACTGTACATAAATAAATAACGATGAGTAAAATCATTTAAAAGACATGTCACTGTCCTCTTCTTAATTGGGCTGTTTTAAATCATGCCACGAAAGCCCTAACTTGTTTGATGCAACCAGTCACATGTATGATGAAATGGTTTGCCAGGTAGAGCTTGTGCAGAGAGTTGATGGTGCCCAGGACTTCTTCAAATCACATTCTTTGAACAAAGTCCACTTCCACCATCTATTATTCATCTTCCTCCCATTAAAATGGAGGAAATGGAGCTAAATTCTGAAAGAAAACAAATAATGGTTAGGACCTATCTTAGAATCAACAGGAAAGCATAATCATAATCTCCATGACAGAGAATTAAAGAATAGTTTACAGAGAATTCTCCTGTTCCTTTGGCAAGTGGACTGTAACTTTTTAATGATTCTTCTCAGAAAAGTCAAGCTTTTAGTGTAAAATATACAGCTCCTGCAGTATGTGAACAGCAACTATTCCACATTAACATCAAGATTGCTAAACAAATGACAGAAACTTGCTTGATTATTGTCAGAGCAGCCATATTTGATATGACAGACCAATGCTCTTCAGGCTATGTACACCCTTTCATACTTACCTTCGTTTTGACTTTTCCCCACAGAAAATATTGTGGAAAATAAACAAAAAACAAAACAAAAAAACAAAAAAGGGAAAATGAGGCCTTTCAAGTTCCCATAAATACCCAACTTTTGAAGTAAAACTGAGGTACTGAATTTTCAAAAACCAAATTCAGAGCACAGTTTTTAATGTGCTAGTTTTTTTTCTTTAAAAATAAGCAGTGGAGAAATTAATACAATTCCAAACTGAACTATGTTGACATTCAATGTGAAGCAGGATTTCAAAGTTTTGTACATTAATGTGTGTTATTTTTCATGGAAATTCTCCAGTTAGGAAGCTATAGAGGTATCACACAACCAGAATATCTTATTTGTCAGACACTGTCTAGAAACTTGATATATCTCCATGGATGGAGCAGGAAAGCCACTATATAATTTCCTTTTGCTCTAAAAGCTTTTGAAAGCTCTCTCACACACTTTTCCAATATCCACAAGGAACGGTTAAAATACTGCTGCAACATGCACAAGATCTCGTCATGCGTAAGGAGTAATAAGGATAAAATCCAGATGTACCTGGAGAGATTATAAAGGCAAAATAATAAATTCTGCACAGATTTAACATTTTGCTATGTTAGCACACTGTTATAAGATTTGAATTCAGTTAAGGTGTATGGTGCCACCTGCAGGAAGCAGGAAGCAAAAAGGTGTGGGGGGGCACCAAACACTGCCATCACCAAAGGATGCATACTGCCCCCCTCCCCAACCAAGCTGTGGGTTTCATTCACTACAGAGAAAATTATTTCTTGCAAGCATTATTTTTTCTACTACGTATTTCTAAAGCACAGCACAAATAAAGAATCTGTGTACTATCTGTGAATTTTATTCATTATAGGCTATGAGATTTAGTGAATAAACTTCTAGAGGGATTTTACAATATTCCAGTGAAAATTTCAACTTATTCACATAATTTGTTTGATCTGTACAGGGTTGATTATCCAAAATATGCATTAGCTATGTATTACTACTGATACTGTTTATTTATTTACATGGTTTGTATATCACTCTTCCCCACAGAGGTAGTCCCTCAAGCTATTTATGATCTCAACCCATCCAACATTGCTTTTTTTACATCAGGTATTACAAAAGCCCAAAAAAGGTTACAAATTATCATATTTGAATAATAATTCTGAAACACGACTATAAACTACAGTGAACTAGAATAAAAGTGTTAAACATGTTGAATTAGTAGTGTCAAAGAGTAACTGACTTTAGCTTGGAAAGGGCAGAAACTCCATCCAAATTGGACTTTAGGAATCAAGAAACCATATACTACAATCTGGTTTAACAAATGCATGCCCTTAATGTACTAATGCTAATGCATGCCCTTAATGTACTAAAATATTTTCTCAACTTATTTAAAATATTTTTGCTTGTTTCATAAGTGTAACTTACATTCAACTTCTGTTTCTGGATTAAAATACTTCAAACACATTTTCAGACTGTAGTACACTTCAAATCAAGAAACTGGATATTTAGAATAGAATATGCAAAATTAAGAAGAGCTGCATTTATCCCATTGTGTTCATGGTTTCTGTATCCATATATTCAACTATCCACATTTTGAATTTTTAATCCAAAAAGCAATCTTGATTTTAGCATTTTACATAAGGGTCATGATTTTATTGAGAGATTCTGTATAATGGGACTTGAGCATCCACAAGTGTTGGTATCCACAGGAGTTACTGGAACCAAAACCCAGAAGATAGCAAGGACCTGCAGTATAACTACGTATTACAATATCACGAATGTCAAATTGGGAAAAAAATCTTAAGCATGTGATTTTTTTGCTTCATAAAACTGACAAAGGCCAAGCAAGCTGTCCTCTGGGTCACAGCCAAAGATTTGTTTAGATGTCAGACACAAACAGTTCAGAGAACAAAGAACATACTTAAATGGCAGATAACAGCTTTTGCTGAAGAGCTATGGTGGTTTGAAAGGGAAAGATCACACTACAAAAAAATGTATTAGCTTTCAATAATATATGAGGGAACCAAAAGAAAAATTTCAAGAATCAAATGCAAAAGATCATGAATACAAAATTAGGTGTGGGAGAATGCACATAATACTGAGAGATGCCTCTGTTGTATAATTAGGCTGTAAATGACAAAATTTTGTTTTCTAGAATCTTTCTTGAGAAATATGGTTTAGGCAAGTCAACTTTACTTATAGAGAAATTTTGCATTTCATTTCTGAAAAAGAAGCAAACTAGCACAATTTTAAAGTACACCCCTTTAGATTTGTGAGCTCGACTTCTGTAGTTTTCATTATTTGTAGATTTGATTTACATTTCTAGGTGTTATGACCAACTTTTCCCTGAAATTGATCACAAAGTTAAGCTGGAGGACCTAGGGATTCCTAGAAAGATCTCTAGGTCATCCAGTGCAATTCCACAATCAGATTTCAGTCAAATGTGACCATATAATCTTGCTGGAGGGCCCAGAAATTCCTAAAGATGTAAAGGTTAAAAATTATGATTTTTAAAATTCACATTTTTTCAACTTAATGGCATTTTGTGGCCCTAACCCCAGTGAATGTAGAAAGATGACTACACAGACTTCGATGTAAGAGAAGTGCACATCCACATGTAGTAAATAAATGTATTCATTTTTTTTTTTGCATTATCACAAGGTGCCTAATAAATTCATCCAAGAGGTGTGTGTGATTTCCAGGCTGTATGGCCCTATTCTTGCAGCATTTTCTCCTGATGTTTCACCTGCATCTGTGGCTGACATCTTCAGAGAATGCTCTGAAGTGATTCTGGCCATGAAAGCCTTCAACAATACCAATTCATCTAAGTTTGCAAGCAGCAATAGCCCCACTGAAGGCATGCAATAAGAATTTGCTGGTTTATAATAAATGTTTAACATTATGAATGTTTTAGTAAACCTACAATTAAATGACGAAAGGACAAAATCTTAGTGAATTTCACTCATTTGCATAATATGTAACATTTCATAAATTATTGTGAATAGTCAACTGCACATACCTTGTTCAAGGCAGTTACAGACAAGTTCAGGGGTATAGCTGGGGTTTTCTGAATGTCTCATTTGTAATAACCAGCCTGGTAAGCCTTGCTCCATAATAATCTATGATGTAACTAGAGCCATCTGAAGGTCCCACAATCTAGAAGAGAAAGCATGGACATGTATATGTTTTAATCATGCAATGCTCCAAGAATTCCTGAATAAAATACCAGTTATTAAAATGACAAAACAGTATTTTAAAACTAAGCATTTTTGGAGTGAGTCACAGATAGATAAATATGTTATACTTAGATTGTACTTGGACTCATTTGATAATCCCACCAGATTACCACAAGAGTATTTTCAGTACTGTTTGTTAATGAAAAGTATACAAATATATACAAATATTTGCAATTACTACAACTAAGGAAGCAAACTTGCATTTCCCTAAGGAAAGAGAAATTGTATAGATTTACAGATATATATTTTCGCATCACACTCTATATGTCATGGAAATAGAAGCAGCTAAATATTGTTCTGTTACAAACCAGAAACCAATAATGTTGATGACAACAACAGTGGCTAGAATTCAAATGTAAATGCAAAAATGCTTGATTTTTTTTTTAAAAAAACAGCAACAATCACATCCCCATTACACAAACTGTTTTTAAATCTGAGGAAATTTTTAAAAGCTGTTTGTGATATCAGATGAGAGTTAGCTGTTCACATGAAAGCAGCCAACAATTCTGATGGACTAGCATTAAGTCCCTTGTGGAAACCTAAGTAGTTTTTTGTAACTTGGCCAATAGCTTTTATTCTAACACCGTGAACTTACCTGCATTGAAATTAGAATGAAATCAATCAAACTTCCAATCCCACAAAATCCTACTGTGCAGAACTTTAACAAGCCTGTAAATAAAGCAACAGTTATACCAATGAGCAGCTTTGCTTTAGGATATCAGAATTGCCAGGAAAGTAGTTTTTAAATAATAATTTATTCAAACATTTTTCAATTCCCTAAAAGCCTTTCAAGATGTACCCTGAAGGGCCACTGGTTTGTGTATCAATGCAATTGTTTTTTTAGCTCTTCCCAATAAGTCCCTTCTTGTTATCAGTAGATACATACTTAGAATCCACTACAGAACTTTGGAACTTTTCTAAATTAAAAAAAAACTGTGGCAAAAATCACAAATGTAGGCACGTGTAAAATATCTTCTCTTCAAACTAAGAGAAAATTTAATGCGTGAGTGTGTAACCATTTTTTGCTGAGTTACTGACAAATCCGTGTGGTTGAATATATGCAGAAACCTATGAAGGACAGATTCCAATACAAATTGAAAAATTTTGCACACCTTAAGGGCAAACCTAAAATGCTAATTTAGTGCCACATTCCAAAGTGATTAACAGGAGCTTTCGTGATACAGGCTGCTATGCTTCTGTTTTAATGCAGAAGGTTTGACTTGGGCACCTTGAGTCTCTGCCACCTTATAATTCAATAATCTGTAATTATGCAATTAATTACAGCATCAATCCATCTATGTCCCTTCCAAATTAAATATTAATCAACTAGTGCTAGTTCTTATGCAATCTTCAGTAACTGTATTTAGTTCTGAGACCGTAAATGCATAATGGAACAGTGCTATGACTGGAAAATTACTATGAAGAAATTAGGCAAAATAGGGAGTGTGACTTCTCAACATGGAAGGAAAGACTTGATTAGAGTTATCTATACTTTAAATTTCCTGTTTAATTAATATATGTGTATGACTTTGGATAATAAGAAACTTACCAACAGAGTTCTTTGTGAAATACTGTATAGTATATTGTATTACTGTATTTCTTCAGATGTAAGACACGCTTCTTACCCTATACAAACATTTCTAAAAATGGGGCACATCTTAGAATTATAGGTGTATCTTATGTATTTTTGGTGGTACTACTAAAATTAAGAGTGCATCTTACAATGGATGGCATCTTACAATTGAAGAAATGTGGTAATATATTTTACAATGGTTGAAAAGAACACAAGGTTGTTGCAATTTTTTAAAAAAACTTTGGGACAAACTATTTGCATATGATGGATATCTATATGTTTGTAATACTGTAATAATACACTGGCATCTAAGAACTGTCTATTTATCTAACATGCAAAAGAGTGACAGACATAATGAACTGGTATTCCATAGGGGAATACCAACATGACACTCTATAATCTGAAAGGGTATGAGTCTAAATGAGTACATGACACTTGCTACACTCATAAAAATATGGGCAAATAAATAATTAAAATAAGTTTAACCAAGTATGTAAAAGCAAAAGCATTGCTCTTGCGAATAACAATTCAGAACAGCAAGGGCCATTATCACCTAAGAGACAACAGAGAAAAATAGTTCAGAAATAAGTATCTTTAATATATATCAAAGTTCATAATTTAGGCAAAAAATACCACTTTGTGTAACTGCCCTTCCACAATCATCTTTTGATACATACTCCCAAGGAAAAACGAACAATTGTTGCAGCAAAATACCATGCAAAGTCTTTTCAATGGATTTCTAACAAGCTCTCTTCATTTCTCTGGGCTATAAGAGTAGCTCAGAGCTAACCCTACAGCCACTCAAAGTACATCCACTGAATGAAATGTGCTGATACAATAGTGGTAGCAAAAACAGCCTTTGCTGCCCACACTTACATGAAGCAGACCCTAAAATGGGCAAATCAGAGTACAACCCTTCTGTTTCTCCACAACTTCTCTAGGAATAAATTTAGGAACTTCATTGTGCTGAGCATCCCAGAAAATCACATACTGCACCAGGCTGAGGATATTAAGAGCTTCAGTGGGACTATTTGTCTAGCAGCTGGGATATTTTTCAAGACATTAGGGAATCGTTTCACATTCATTAGTCCCTGGGTGTGGGGCATTTTTTTAATCCTCCACTATGCAGGGGCAAAGATTACCGGCAAATCTAGATGACATCAAGTAGTGATCTGATCAAATGAGTATTATTTTTCAATATCTTGCCTCTCCTGATTGCCTCCATCCCATTTAACTATTAAATCAAACATAAAGATATATCATAATCTTGGAAGTACTGTATATAATGTATCAGTTGGCATCATGTATGTTGAGGGAAGCTTTGGGGGGGGGGGGGAATTATGTATTTTGATATGACCTGTGGTTAAATTGAGGGTCTTACCACAGAAAAGGGAAAGCTCAATTGTTCTTGGCCACCATTTCCCTGCTTAGGCATTCAAAAAGACCCAAAGTGGCACAAAGGTGAAGAGAGCAGGGGGGTTGGCGCTTCTTTTATGTTCTCCAGGACATTTATTTTACTTTTTATTACTCTATTCAGAGAAGGGGATAGCCCTTCTTTTTAATAAGACTTAAGGTGCAGTGTTCTCACTGTCCCATTGGTAAGTCAGCTCAGGTTTTTTGGGGTTGCTATTTTGACTAACTTTTCAAGATGTATACTTGAGTACATAGGGTATGCATGCATAAGACACACAAGAGATGCCAGCTGTTGAATTAAGTCATTAAGGTAGTCTGCAGACCAATATTTAAAATATACTCACCCAATGCAGGATATCCCAGATAAAATCTATCTGCTCCCAACCATCCAAGAAATAAAGACAGAGCTACTGCTACTTTGTAAGAGTAACCATTTCTAAAAACAGAAATAAGGAGTAAAATACGCTGATCTATTTGTAAAATCATGTTTATCATTACAAACACAGTACATATGCTTGTTTAATAAGGAATTTAGCATCAGAACCTAACAGCTTCATAGCTTGATTAAATGAAAATCTAGTTATGTTTGTACACCAACAACATATGGCTAGAAATACATAAAATAACAAATATTTTGAGTATTAAGGTTTGCACTGCTGCCACATTTATAATAATGAAATGTAACATGGATAGAAGGATATGTCATAGATTGAACAAAATTTCAGACTTGGCTACCTGTTCAATTTTACCTTTGGTGTAAACAGAGGGAAGTCAATACAAGCTGACATTCTGAACTAGCAATAGTACAAAGTGTGAGTTGCATGTCCTATTCAGCTCACAGAGCCATTTTTTAACCTTCAGGTCTCCCCTCATGTCAGTTTTTTTAAAATCTAGCCCATGCTTTTTATGGGGACTTTTGATTATATCCTTGATCCCTTTTTAGCCCAGGAGGCTATTTTTTATTTTTTGTTGGGTAGTATGCTCATATTGTATTTGTTCGTTTTATTAGGAAAATGAAATGGCTATTATTGTGAGGTATGAAATAATTACATTAGTCCCCTAGAGCAGGGCTTTCTAAGTTTTTTCATTTGTGACCCCTTTTGGCCTGATAAAGTTTTGCATGATCCAGGGTATATAGGTATAAAAAACAGGTATGAAAATCAAACATTTACCAATAACAAATCAGCATTTGCAAGACTAGCTAAATAGGCTGATTGTCTTTTTTATGAAGCATTTTCTGTCCATTGTAAAAACTGAACAACGGGATTCATATAAATTCTAAAACAGACACGAGATGACATTCAGTAAACTTTTACTGTTGTTAATTTTTTCAGGACCCCATAACTGAGCTAAGGAGACACCATTTGGGATTGGGACCCACAGTTTAAGAAGCAGTTGTCTAGAGCAGCAGTTTCGAAACTGTGTTCTGCAGAACCCTAGGAGTTCTGCAAAAGTATAATATAGGTTCTGCAAAAAATATTAAAAATCAAAATTAAAAATGGATTTTAAATAAAACACACAAAGCCAACTTTTTGATGTACAGATTCTGAAATATCTATTTTGTGCTACAACTATTACTATCAGGCACTATCAGGCATGTAGTTACTGGCTTCACATTTCACCATTTTATTTGCCATCTGAATAAGAGTGATTCACATGTAGTCGATTTTTCAAATGGATTCCACATTTCTGTTTTATTTTTTCTTTCTTGTACAGTTTTTGAGGTGAAAGACATATGAGATAGTAGGATATTATTCATAAAATATCAAGAATAATCTTTACTACAAAACACGATATTATACAGAAATTTGGGAAACATATTTTAATGAGTGTAAAATGAATGTATATTTTGGTTAAGCAAATCAGGGATTTGTTAGAATTAGGGTTCCACAGAAAATAAGTATCTTCTGAAAGGTACCATGATCAAAAAAGTTTTGACTGCTCCAGATCTCAGCAGACGATGTAATCAATGTCCACTGAGCTAAAAAGCAGGTGCTTCTGTGATTCCACCCTCTCCTTCTCCAGACACTAAATGAGGCTCACCAATTTTGTGGTATGCCTGTGGTAAATAGTTCAGAGTAACATATTTCTCTGTGCAGAACTACTATATTACGCTAAACCACACAGGTTCAAGCCAAAGAGTAAAAATGGTCTTTTTAGGAACTCAGATACCACAAATAATCTTTTGCATTGTTTTAAATATATTATATAGGCTTCTCCCAAGTTTGAACAGTGGTCCTGGATAGATATGGTGTATGTACCAAAAAACAGAATTGTATAGGCCCATAAATGAGGCTGTCTAAGCAGCTACTTTGTATTTAAGATTTAAATAGTCACATCATAACAATACCATGCAAAAAGACAGAACATATTAACAACATTTTATCTTCCCAGGGTCACATTGTTGCAGTCTGTTCCAACCACTTTTAGTTCCCCTAGGGGTGAGAAAGGCGGTATATAAATACTGTAATAAATAAACTACTACTCCGCCCTCATGAAGCACTTTCCCCTCGCCCTTAATGAAGGCCTAACTCTACTGTTTCAGCCCTTTTGTGTTCCTCCCTCCCTCAGAAACCCATTCTCCCTCAGAAACCCATTCTACATCTATCATCCAGGGTTTTATCAAATTTATTCCTAGTACATTTGGCCGGCCCACTGGATGTTGAAAAAAATTGGCTTGTTATGGAAACAAGGGTTGGTGAGAAAGCTTCAGTAGATACCCCTTTTGTCATGATAACTCTTTCAGGGGTGAATTTCCCTTCCTAGGGGTAGATTTCTCTCGCTCCTTGTTGTTTCATCCCTGTTCTTAATTATGAGTCATTTGTAAGTTGAATGTTTGTAACTCGGGGACTGTCTGTTTAACTTTCCTCAGACCAAAATCGAAACAACTCTTCTGTCAATGTGAAGCAGTTTTACCATGCTTATTTATAAAAGATGTATTATTACATGTAGGCTCTCATCTATAATAGTAGGAGGAAAGCACATTTTAACATAAGATATATGAGAATATAAGTTTTTCATATTTAATAATTGTATAATAATCATATTTAGTGTTTAGAAGAAATTGCATCATTATATACTTGAGACCATATATTTACTTACACATTTCGACACTCCACAGGCTTGAAAAATCCAGTTTCCATTCCAGTAAACTTGGTTTCATTTCCACTATAATCCTTACATGTAATATTTGGTGCTGGAAGGCAAGGAACTGAGGGAGAAAAACAAGTCTATTTTGTGTTGAGCACTGAAACACTTTAGTACAAAATACATAAATACTTACACATTCTATGCTCAAAACAGCTCACACAAAACAAAGAGAAATGATTGCATATAAATACTTTAAATTAAAAACATCTTCTACAAAAAAAGGAGGTATATTTCAATAGGTTTTACATATTAACATAACTGGTATTGTGAAATGCTTCTCCCTCAGAAAATCTGGAATTATTTTCCACTTGCGACATAGTAACATATGTGTGTTTATGGCTCAAATTATCATACTTACTAGAAATGAGTATCAAGGCACATGGGAAATTGTTCATAACCAAAGAGCTTCAAATGCTATTATGGCTAAATAAACACACCACTCATGCAAACAGTCATGAATAGTGCAAGCCACTCTAATAGTAACTCCTGCAAGGAAAAGCCACATATTCAGTGATTCTGATCATCACTAAAAAGATATATGGATCAGTTAAATGTAGATCTAGTTATGCTCCCTGACCATTAATAACATTTTGTAAATATTTTGGCTATATTTCAGAGGAAGGAATGGGCAAAACCACCTCTGAGTATTCCTTCCTGAAGAAACTTCTATGAAATTCATGGTCACCATAATTTCTCAGGTAACTTGAAGACACAAACACACAATAATGCACAATATGAAGAAAATAAAAAGCATTAGAATACTCTAGTCCTTACCATATGCAGTATGGTTTGTACACTTCAAGGGTTCTTGAGTCTCATTGTCTATTTTAGGATCTTCACAGATATATGTTTGAAGAATTAAGGAAAATAAATGTGAGCTGAAGTCCCACAGAAGTATTTCACACAGGGAATTCATTTACTGATTAGTTTACAACAGCAGTATTTAATCTTTCTTTTCATTCTAATCATGAAAACTAAAAGTACAGAAGTATGTATAATGAATCTGCTATCTAAAAGAAACAATACAGATTTCTGGGAGTTGGAGGTCAAAACACCTGGGGACCCACAGATTGCGAACCACTGCTATAGTTCACAATTTTATCACTCCCTATCAGGAGCGGCTCAGGACTTTATGTCTTCCATGGCGATCATGCTGTCCCAACTAATATCAGACCCCACTCATTGTGCTGGACACACATTAGATCTGGTTTTCTGTCAGGGATGGGAAGAAGGTGGCGGTGTAGAGGAGTTAACCATCTCTCCGTTGCCATGGACCGACCACTTCCTGATCAAGTTTAGACCCTTTACACTCTGCAGGGGTGGAGATCCCATTAAGGTGGTCCGCCTCAGGAGACTTATGGATCCGGATGGATTCCTGACAGCTCTTGGGGATATTCCTGCCTCCTCAGTTGGTGAACCTGTCAATGCTTGTCACCCACTGGAATAATGAAATGACTAGGGCAATAGACATGATTGCTCCAGAATGTCCGCTCTCGAGTAGCCGTGCTAAACCATCTCCTTGGTTTACTGAGGAGCTGGCAGCGATGAAGCGAACGAAGAAGAGACTAGAGAGCGTGTGGCAGAAAGTCTAGCGAGTCAAATCAAGCACAGGTGGATGCCTATTTAATGGCATATGCTGCGGCAATAGAAGCTGCAAGGAAATCTTTCTTTGCAGCCAATATTGCGTCTGCGAAGAACCGTCCGGCGGAGCTGTTCCGAGTGGTCAGAGGGCTGTTAAATCCTGTCTGCCAAGATAGGATCCCTGACAACTCGGCAGCCCGCTGTGAAGCATTTGCTCGGTTCTTCACAGGCGGAAGTCTCTGAGAATGTAACACGAGCATCTGCTTGTCCGATTTTGATGGATTTGTTTCAATCTGTGCAGCTCGAGGATGTAGACAAGATTCTTGGAGAAGCGAGGCCGACCACATGCATCCTAGACCCCTGCCCATCCTTGACTGATAAAGGAAGCTGGAGGGGGTTTGGTAGGGTGGGTGAAGGTGGTGGTTAATGCCTCCTTAAAGGAGGGCAAGTTTCCAGTGAGCCTAAAAGAGGCTGTTATAAAGCTGCTGTTGAAGAAACCATCACTTGACCCCACCCAATTAGACAACTTTCAGCCAGTTTCCAATCTTCCCCTTTTTGGGCTGGAATGTGTGGTGGCCTTGCAACTCCGGGGATTCTTGGTAGACACTGATTATCTAGATCCGGCACAGTTTGGCTTTAGACCGGGACATGGTACCGAAACAGCCTTGGTTGCCTTGGTAGATGATCTTCGCGGGGAACTAGACAGGGGGAGTGTGTCCCTGTTGGTTCTGCTAGACCTCTCATCGGCCTTCGATACCGTCGACCACGGTATCTTTCTGGGACGCCTCAGGGATATGGGACTTGGGGGTACTGCTTTGCAGTGGCTCCAGTCCTTTCTTGAGGGTCGTCCTCAGAAGGTGTTGCTGGGGGACACCTGCTCATCCTCACAACCACTGACTTGTGGGGTCCCGCAGGGCTCTATTCTGTCCCTCATGTTGTTTAACATTTGCATGAAGCCGCTGGAAGAGATCATCTGGAGCTTTGGGGTCAGATGTCATCTGTACGCGGATGATGTTATTTATTGTTTATTTACTTATTTACTTTATTTGTATACTGCTGTTCTCAGCCCTTAGGCGACTCACAGTGGTTAACAACAAGAACAGCAAAAATTCAATGCAATCATGCTTTGGTCCATGTTCAGCTCTATCACTCCTTTCCACCTGCTACTAAGGAGGCTGTGCTGGTCCTGAACCAGTGTCTGGCTGCCGTGTTGGTCTGGATGAGGGCGAACAGATTGAAATTTAATCCAGACAAGACAGAGGTACTCCTGGTCAGTCGAAAGGCGGAACAGGGGATAGGGTTACAGCCTGTATTAGACGGGGTTATACTCCTCCTGAAGACACAGGTTCGCAGTCTGGGAGTGATCCTGGATTCACCGCTGAGCCTGGAACCTCAGGTCTTGGCAGTGGCCCGAGAACTTTTGCACAATTAAAACTTGTGCACCAGCTGCGCCCGTTCCTTGGGAAGTCTGACTTGGCCATGGTGGTCCATGCTCTGGTTACATTCAGAACAGACTACTGCAACACTCTCTACGTGGAGCTGCCTTTGAAAACTTCTCAGAAGCTCTGTCCACTCTGTCTCTGGGAGTTGGTGCTCATCTCCATTTCTAAGCCAAAGAGCCAGCGTTGTCCACAGACACCTCCAAGGTCATGTGGCCAGCATGACTGCATGGAGTGCTGTTACCTTCCCGCCAGAGCAGTACCTATTGATCTACTCACATTTTCATGTTTTCGAACTGCTAGGTTGGCAGAAGCTGAGGCTAAGAGCAGGAGCTCTCTGGATTCGAACCTGTGACCTTTCGGTCAACAAGTTCAGCAGCTCAGTGGTTAAACCTACTGCACCACCGGGGGCTCTGTCTTATAGTAGTTAATTTAGATATGTGTTCAAGAATGTGAGATGTGTATCTAGGTTGGTTTTGTTATATATATTATTCAGTTATTGTTATTATTATTATTATTATTATTATTATTATTATTATATGATTTTATTCAATTAAATAAATAAATAAATACGGTGGCTGCTTGGTATCTGCTGGGGTTTGGTTCCAGGATCAAAATCATGGATGGTGAAGTCCTATTATATACAATGGTGTAGTACAATGGTGTCTGTAAAAAAAAGGGGTAAATCAATATTTGCCTTTTGGATTCTTTATTCTATTTTATTTCAAGTCATGAATGGTTGAATCCATAGATGTTGTGTCTATAAAGAAGACTGGTTGTAATTTTAAAAATGTGAGATGGCAATACACAGCACAGAGGCCTGAACTCTCCTATCAGATGAGAGGAAAAGAGCTGCCTCTCTTTCAAGATTACTACTATCCTGTAATGCCCCACAATGCTTACCACAGACCTTCCCTCCCTTTCCCTCCAAAGCTTCCTGCAAGTGAGGAGCTCTTATCTCCCACATCAGAAGGAGGAAAAGTTTGGACCACTCTGATAAATCCTATCAGCACAATAGGAAGAGGCGTGGGGGGGGGGGGGATAATCATGACTCCTTTTCTGGCCCTATACTCTACAATCTGATCCCAGGTTTTCTGCTTTAAACTGGATTATATGAGTCTGCACTGCCAGATAATCTGGGTTCTGAGATAAACAGAAAACCTGGGATCAGATCATGGGATATAGGGCCTGTCTGGAAAGGCCCTGGGTAGCTTTGCCCTATGGCTCAGTGATGACTTTCTGCATGTGTGTCAGAGAGATGTAGTGACTGGTGTTTCCCCCCTCCCCTCTCTTTTGAAACCTTAGAAGAGTTGGGCATTAGAGTAGCTCAGACCCACATCTTAACTATTAAACAATGTAGTTATTGTTTATTATTGTAAATAAACCTTTTGTGATTTTTTAAGATTGGGCTCTGCATCTTTGCCTGCCTAAACTCTTAATTCTTGAAGCCACAACCAACAGCACTTCAAACTTTTCTAGCTGTGAGCGGCTGCTCAACTTGAAGGATCCTGTTTGATTTTTGGATGCTCTGCTGTATTTTAGCACTTTAAATTGGGTCTAGATGGCAGGAGTCAGTGGAACTGGGTTGGAGGGCTGCTTCCTGGAGTCATCCCCAAGGAGTCTGCTCCAAGGAGCAGTCTAGCTGCTGTACGTTGGACCAATTGCAGTTTCCGGACACTTTTTAAGGGCAGTTTCATGTAGAGCACGTTGCACTAGTTCAAACAGGATCACTGGCCAAGACAGCTGGGGCTTCTGGGAGCTGAAGTCCAGAATACCTGGAAGAATAGTCTGTGCATCACTAGTCACATAGCTATTACACTAGGTAACAAAAATTGAGGGGGGAAATCTGTTCCTGGTTTGAAGGTGTGATTTCCTGTTTAATTGTGCAGTACTATCTAGAACTCTCTCCCCAAAGGACTAAAAATGGCTCACTCCTTACTCTCTTTTTTAAAAACCCCACATTTATGCTCTTCGGCATATAGAGAGGAGGTGGTTAAGATCAGACCATGTATAATAATCTTGAGCAAGAAATGGCGCCTTATTCCAACTTGGTCGGCTGTATAAAATGTTGTAATTTTAAACAGATCACGATTTGCTTAAATTTTTATTGAAAATAGTTATATATATTTGTTATAATTATAGTGGAAACTTGAAGAATGTTGTAGTTTTCAACACAGAAACTTCCGTTTTTGTGGCTTCCACAAATTATGTTGAAAGGGATGAAGATATCTATTGAAACACTAGAGCAAAATATGCTGCGGGATGTAGGGAATGACATTTACAACCCAGGAACGAAAGGGGTGTTACATAGTGTTATTGTTGTTGTTGCTATTCCCCTTGCCACGCTCCTTTGTCGCTTTGTTTGGGGCCTGTGGCAGGGCTCATGCGCTATCCCTACTCGTATCCTATTCATATCCAACGGGTCAGGCTCTTCGGCCTCCAAGGCACAAGGGCTCCGCAGGCCTGCCTTTCCGCCCCGCCGCGCGCCCACCTCGAGGCCCTGGGGCCCCTCCTCACCCGTCTCCATGGCAACCAGGGGCTGCCCGGCCCCCTTTCGGTGGCAGGATATTGTCCCGGCCGCAGGTCTTCGCACTTCAAGGGGGGCTCGCCATTCGCCGCACTCCGCGCCGCCAGGCAGGCCAGCCACAGGGCCCCCAAGGGCCACAGCGTGCCCGCCTCGCTTCTCTTCCTCTTGCGCCCAAGCAACGCCACCCCCAGCCAGACAGCCATGTTGGAACGCGGGCCTCCCTGTCAGCTGACACACAAACCCGGACGCAGCGCCGTTCTCTCAGGGAAGCGCGCCTTTGCCCACAACAAAGATGGCGTCCCCGTCTTAGTCTTTACACAGAACGCAAGGCAGGCTCCGCCCACTTTTCTTTCCCTCCGCCAATGGTTCTTGTAGAAATAGCAGGCCTGTTGCCAGGCAACGAAAGGGCCGCCCTTATTTCAGAAGAGGTCTTGACTCAGGAGAGGTCATGATTGGCATGCTAAACTGAATTGCGTAACAACATCTCTCATCACAGCTTTGATTATATGTTAGCCCCAAAATATTGAGGTAAAATCACACCTGAAAAATAGCACCTTAAAGAGAATATCTGCCTGCTTTTTTGGGGTATCAAAAGAGAAAGGGGATGTCAACAATGGTATAGTGGGAGGAGCATACTAGTCACTGGGTTGTTGTAGGTGTTTCCGGGCTATATGGCCATGTTTTGGAGGCAATTTTTCTCCTGACGTTTCGCCTGCATCTATGGCAAGCATCCTCAGAGGTAGTGAGGTCTGTTGGAAGTAGGAAAATGGGTTTATATATCTGTGGAATGACCAGGGTGAGACAAAGGACTTTTGTCTGCTGGGGCTAGATGTGAATGTTTCCTCTGATCACCTTGATTAGCATTCAATGGCTTGGAAGTGCCTGGGGGGAATTCCAAGCCATTAATTTCTAGTAAAGTACATTTGGGACAAAGTGCTTTTGGGGTTTTCTATTCTGGGAAGGCACACTGGAACAGCCACATTTTCAAACTCCTAAAGACTGCCAGCATCGGGGCATGCCTGATATCCTTGGGGAGTGAATTCCAGAGTCAAGGGGCCACCACAGAGAGGGCCCTGTGCCTTGTCCCACCCAATCGTGCTTGCGATGCAGGTGGGATCGCGAGCAGGGCCTCTCTGGAAGATCAAAGAGACCATGTGGGTTCGTATACAGAAATGCGATCACATGCAGGATGAATTTTCATTCACTGGACCAAATTTGGCAAAAAATACCTGATATGCACAAATTTGTATACTGGTTAGGTTGGGGAGGTTAATTTTGTCATTTGGGAGTTGTAGTTGCTGGGATTTGCAGTTCATCTACAATCAAAGAGCATTCTGAGCTCCACCAATGATGGAATTAAACCAAATTTGGCTCACAGAATTCCCATGACCAGCAGAAAATACTGGAAGGGTTTGGTGGGCATTGACCTTGAGTTTTGGAGTTATAGTTCACCTACATCCAGAGTGCGCTGTGAACTCAAACAATGATGGATCTGGACCAAACTTAGCATGGATATTCAATATGCCCAAATGTGAATACTGGTGGAGTTTGAGAGAAATAGATCTTGACATTTGGGAGTTGAAGTTAGTTGGATTTATAGTTTGCCTATAAACAAAGAGCATTCTGAACCTCACCAATCATAGAATTGGGCCAAACTTTCCACACAGAAGCCCTAGGCCTTGAAGGGACTAGCTGGCATGAGCCTCCCTCCAGCCTCGCATGCTCTCCCTTGCCCACACATACGTACCACGCTGCCATGAGCCGAGCACAACTGCTCTTCCCTCCCACCTTGGAGTCTCAGAAACAGCCCTCCCCTTGGCTGAGTGGAGGAGTGGAGGAGGGCTTTTGATGGGAGGATTCACCATCTGTTTCCAAAAAGGAAGAGGAGAGGTGTAAAGGATCAGTCGTTTAATTAAATTAAAGATAGATTAATTCAGAGAGGATGCGTCAAACTCAAAATGATCTTCTGGCAGGGGGCCTTTATTCAATCCTCCCACTTGCCAAACAAATGTACAAAATTGTTTATTCTAACAATCCCAATGCTGGTCACCAAATGTATTAGATTATTATTTAAAACCGACGTAAGTGTTTGGAGGCTGCAGAGACTTTGCCACCAAATACACTGTATTCTGAGGAAATTTTACTGAGGAAACTGGCTACCACCACACTTAAAAGGAATGTTCAGTTCTTGTTTGACCAGAGGTTTAATTAGGCTGGAATGTGCTGAATTCGCACTCAGGGCTCTGAACTCTGAGATAAATAACAATGAGATTCTTCTAAAAATGCCACCAATCTAGAAACTCTGTTTCCCTAACTGCTATGGAACTTCTTCACACAGAGGCACTCTTGAGACAGTTGTTGATTAACAAAGAACAAAGTTGTTTATTTGTGCGGATTTCAAAAATACAGGCACTTTAGCGTAATGGTTGCAATAATGAGATGAAGCGTATGGTTACTTAAAAAAAAAAAGTTCAATGCTTCGTTCCAAAAACAACTCTTCACTCCCTCAGGAAACTAGCAGACTTCCCTCTGACTAGAATTCCTAATGCTCCAGACCAGGGGTCCTCAAACTAAGGCCCGGGGGCCGGATACGGCCCTCCAAGGTCATTTACCTGGCCCTCGCTCAGAGTCAACCTAAGTCTGAAATGACTTGAAAGCACACAACAACAACAACAATCATATCTCATCAGCCAAAAGCAGGCCCACACTTCCCATTGAAAAACTAATTAAGTTTATATTTGTTAACAATGTTTTTCATTTTAATTATTGTATTGTGTATAAGATATGTGCAGTGTGCATAGGAATTCATTCATATTTTCTTGGTTTGTTTTTTTCAAATTATAATCCGGCCCTCCAACAGTTTGAGGGACTATGACCTGGCCCTCTGTTTAAAAAGTTTGTGGACCCCTGCTCCAGACAGTCCTTTCCCTTGGATCTGTCTATTCTCTACCAGCTATTCTTCCTAATAGTAATCTGTCTTCTCTAACTAACCACTTTGGCTTCTCTAACTTGTCTTCTCCTAACTCACTCTCTCCCAACTGTCTTCTTCCAAACCCAAAACCTGACTGACTTCTTCAAACACCAGAACCTAACTAAACTGTCAGATTTTAAAACGCACGCTTTCAGGCAATTTTTTTTCTGCACTCTAACTAAGCTCCGCCCACTTTCTCCCAACCAATCACCAAGGCTCTCCACATTTCTCTCTAGGCTGCTCCCAAGCTCTGCCTCCTCTAGGAAATGACTACTCTAAGATGGCTGCCTCCCTGCACCATCTCACAGAATCACTGCCAAAACACTTGGGCCTACTTCCTGAGCTTTTCCCTGGCCTAAAAGGAAGGCAATTCATCAGAACAGGCAGAGAGATCTTCAGCCTTCTCTGCCACAGGGGTTCCTAAGACCATCAGAAATATATGTTTTCTGATGGTCCTTGGTGACCCCTTTGAAACCCCCTGGTATCCCCCACCCCAGGGGTCCCGATCCCCAGGCTGAGAAACACGGCACTAAGGGGTCATGACACACAGTTTGGAAAGCTCTCTTTGAACACAGAATTTACTCCACAGCTGATAATAATATCTCTGCTCTCAGCATAAGCGATTGTATCAATTTAAGCCACTCACTCAGGATAACAATTTTGAGTGACATAAAAAAGACAATAAATAGTTATTGTTTTACTGCTGGGGAGAACAATGTGCTGGTAGGATTTTCTGCTGTGCTCACAAAAATAACTAGCCTGGCCTTAGGTATGATGCACTTTGATTTGGTGGAGATTTAAGCAGCATTTGCTGCTCTGTTCCAGGCTGCAAAACTCCTTGGGGGAGTCCTGTCCACTCTACTGAGTCTCATAAGATTCCTTATTGTGAAATGCCAGCATTTGAAAATGTTCCTTGTGCCCAAACCTCTCATCTTGAAAAGCCCCAATGTGAAAAACAGCTGAGTGAATACTTCCATCTACTGACAACAACTTAGAAATTATGCCTTTTAGTCAAAATCCAAAAACACTAGTACTTGCTAAATATAAACCACATGCCCCACATCATTCTCTGACCCTTTCATTTTTAATCAGTCTCTCTTTGTGATTGCTTGCAACATCACAACCATCAGCATTCTTGTTTATTGAGTCTGGGCACTACCAATAAAATATGTTTACTATTATATGTGGAATGGCTACAATCTGTCAAAATCTGACTTCTTTTTGTATTTATAGCAATTTCTGGCTTGCAAGGGCAGGGAATTTCAACCTTTCCCATTCTTCAGAGAGAAACCCACCCATCCCCCATCTCTGGAATTCTCCACAAAAACTTTAAAAAGTAGTAAAATCTCACCATCTAACACAATAAAAAGGGCAATTTTACAAATGGAGATAAATGTAGTAGCAAGGATATTAATTTAAAAATCCAAAAACATGAAAAGCTTTTAGGAAAACAGCGAATCTAGTACTGAAAACAGTATAGTTTAGGTCCTAAGAGAGCCTCCCTACTAAGAGGAAGGTAAACAGGGCGAGGGGGCGGCTCTTCTTCCCTCCTCACCCTCTTTATCTTCCTCTTCCTCCTCCTCGTTGCCACCTGGGCCTCTTGCCTCCACTTGGGCCCCAAAACGCCTCCGCTGCCTGCTCAATCATGGGGCCTAAGCAGCAGCTAGAGGCCCAGGTGGCGACGAGGAGGAGGAAGGTAAAGAGGCCGAGGGGGCAGCTCTTCTTCCCTCCTTGCCCCTGGAGGGAAGAAGAAACTTTGGCAAGACGCCCAGGTGGCGATGAGGTGCCCCCCCCTTTAACTCAGTGTTCCCTAGCTACTTAAAATTTTAAAAACAGCGAGTCCGTGATAAGCGAACCGTGAAGTTAGCAAGGGACCGCTGTATTCCACAACCAGGATGCTATACCCAAGTATACAAGAAAAGGCAAAACATTAATTAATTAGGTCTCAGGAAAAGGCATATTGAAGATGACATATATTACATCATAGGGACAATCAGTGTACAGCTAACGTGAACAAGGAAAAGTTTGTCTTGTATATTATTAGAAGAACAATATATTTTTATGAAACTGTCTCTGGCCGCTTCCACATTCCCTGCTATCTTAAGATCTGATCCCAGATTATCTTCTTTTTCCAGTTTATCTGACAGTGGAGGCTCATATAATCCAGTTTAAAGCAGATAATCTGGGATCAGATCCTGGGCCCATTCAGACAGCTCCATATCCCAGGATCTGTCTCAGTTTTTACTGGAGACATCCAAATGACGCTTCCAGTGAAAATGAATTCATTCGGAACCAAGGTTTT